AAAAGCGAATCATTCTTTATCCTGAGAATGCGAGCTCTCACGCATCGGCTCAAAAAAAAGGAACTTTTGACGGACCAAAACATCCAATTGATTAGTCATCCACAGTACAACCTTGGTTTGGCACCCAATGACTTTTTTTATTTCCACACATCAGAACATTAGAAATAAATTACGTGGTCAACGATTTGCGACACCCGAAAAAGTGGCTGATGCATATTTTGGAGTAACGCATATTTTGGATATATTTTCAAAACGCATATTTTGTAGTTACCTCATTGTGGAAAAAATGCTTCGAAAATTGGTTCAAACGCATTCAAAAGTGTATTGATTTTCATGGAGAATATTTTGAAAAACAATCAAACCAATTTCGATCATAAGCATTTGCTTTTTCATTATTAGGCCAGAAATATATATAAGAACCCTCTCATGCTAGGAATGGTGTGCTCGTAATACAAAGTCATGTTCTGTTGTCTCTTCATTACACAGTAAATATTTCATGATGAAAGTTAAAATTCTTTTCAAGTACTTAAAACTTATTAAAAATTCAAAATCGGAATTTTTAGTGCATGAGAAGCTTCAAAATTATGCACCTGGTGTATTTGCCAACTACTGAAATGATTTAGTTTAATACTCTTTCTTTTTATCCTTTCTTCAAAGACGAATCTAAGAAGTGAAAAAGCAGCCATTGCATCTTCATCAGCTTTATAACAACATTCTTCCAAAATTTAAAATTAATAGCAATTTCTAGAGAGTAACATTTACAAAATTTATCTCAAATTTAATCAGAATAAATTAAGCAAAATTTCTGTTTTCTTTGCAAATATACTATATATAAATAATGTAAAAGTAATTATTTTTTCTTCTTGCAAAACTTTTACCTTAGAAGCTCATTCGAAATCAATAAATAAAAACTGAAACTAAAGTAGCGAATAAAGAGCGTTAGCAATTCGTATTATTCGCTATTTTTGCTTCGAAAATTCTTTATAAATGCATGCGCACTCGAATTGTCGCATTAGCTATCAAAAAGCTCTTGATTTAATAACATTTTTCTTCTTTTTTCTGCTTGCTAAGTTTTTATTTCTAGTTTAATCTCAGCAAAAAACATTTTCTACTTGTATAATCGTTTGAAAAATAAAATAATCTAGAGCTGCATTTCTGTAAAATAACAAGCAAGAAAAATGAAACATTATTCGGTATTTATTCTACTGGGAAATAAAAGTGAGATCTTAGGCGATAGTGAACTGCGCTGTGGGAATTTATGACGTCATACCGCTTCATTGCAAAATGTCATGCTCTAAATTAAAATTCTACTCTAGCACAGTTTCCAACGTCATTTTAAGCTCTGACAGAAAACTCGAAAGCTGCTTTCTTTATATAAATGTAACATTTATTATAAGCGCATTCCTAAGTTTGAGGATAATTTGCAATTCTAAAGAATTTTGTGGAATATGAAGTTGCTCATTAAATAACAATTTATTGCAACGCAAAATTTCCTACATTAGTTAGAGGATATTTATAGTTGAAGAGCATTTGGATTTAGAAAAGTAATGCTTGTGTTGAAAATTACAGGCAGGTGATTTTTGAAACATTACATTTCGAGTCTGTTCAAAAGAAGTGATTCCCATCTTTTTTATCTCTTTTGAGATAAAGAAGATGGGAGGTTCGCCTATCATATGAAACACCATTTTACATTGCAATAAAATATATGCTTTCTTTAAGAAACTACCAGGCGGTTTAGATTCCACATTTGTTATTTAGTTAAAGCGTAACAAAGGAACTCTAAATTATAGCAATAAAAGTACTTTAACTATAATTAAAACTTATTTATATATTAAAACTTGTCAGATCATTTTAGCTGCATAATTTTCTTCTTTCTAGAGATTTTTGTTTCTTGCTCACCTTTCAAAATTCGCTTATAGTATGTCTTATCATCTTCAAGATACGTGACGTGTTTCATCGTGATCAAAAGTTTCTTTTTCATTTCAGAAGTTACAAGGATGGCTTAAGAAATGCTATACTAACAATTCTTATCAAAATATTATACAGTTTCAAATACATATCAAATATGTACTGTTACGAAAACATGAAAACCCAACACCAAGAAGATGTTTAGTTATGTGAATAAATTTTATATATTATATGTTCTGCATGATTTAATCAATTTATATAATTTGCAAAATAGTAATTAATATTGTGAATATTGTAAATTCTCAGCTCGAGGTTCCATTTCAGTTTTCATTACATCAAAAATCACTGTTGTCCCCACAGAGTTGAATACAGGCCAGAAAATGTGGCCTAATCTAATCTTACAGTCGGATACTCTTATTTGATATGAAATTATGGAATTCCAGCCTTGGGTAATTAAATCCACAGCGATTGTCACGTCAGTGATGTCTTATTCGCCCTTCTTATGTGAGAAAATTGGAGAGCTGACTGCTCGTGTCAACATGGTAAAAGATAAGCAACATTTTAAATTGCATAATGGAAATCAGCATTATATTGTTGAATAAATTTTTTGAGCATCATTCATGAACGATGACACAACGAATTATGTCTCCACTCGGGAATAAATACTTGCTTTCGCAACGTTTCGGATTATAACGAGCAGATCCTGCCATCGTAATAAATCCTTTCCAGTATTATAAGATTTACGGCATGCCCGGTACGTTGAATGACTGGTACAACTTTTCAGCAGATCTCCGTCTTCCCCCCTCGTGATCCGCATGTCTATCAATGATACACGAGCAGAAACGACTTCCATCTCGTAAGTCCACATATCTGGCCCAACCGATATAAACAGATTAAATCTACTTTTCAATGCTGGGGTTTCGTTTCTTGCTCACATCCAAACAAATGAGCTGGCTGACTTCGTATTCTCACGATGTTTTCTCTGTGCATTATCTTCCACCAAGGTATATCTCTCATTAGACAGATAGCCTTTGTGTTCTTTTCCACATTTAAGTCAACAACAAACAAGCACCACTAATCAATATTCCGTCTTAAAAAGGCTGTAAGTTGACACCAATGATAACACATATGACAGTAATTTGAAGTTAACGTTAAACGTTAACGAAAATAGGAAGCTTGAAACGAACATTATTTTCTCATAAATCATTCCACACTATTCATGTGACAAGATCAAGCTTTACTGAAGCTTGAATCTCTGCAATACAGTCTGTATGATTCATAAGAGATTTTCTTAAGAATGTCCCTTTCACCCCAAGTCATGCCAGATCTTAGGATTTTTTTAGCAGTGTTTTGATGGAGCTAATAGAATTACTGTGAGTCAGCTCTCCCCATTATGTGTTCAAACTTTCTTTCCTCCTTCTCAAAAAGTGGCCTCGTTTATGTAGAGCCAAATGGCATATCGAGCGTCAATTCAGTCTTAGATGAATTTCATTAACAGCAAACGAGAAACCATACATCCTCAAATAAAACAAATTATCGTGGGAAATTGCATGTAATGCCTTCCTAGGTTTGTTTAACTGGTATAATTATGAATAATGAGATCATATTTTCATCAATAAACTATCGGCGACAAACAGACACTTAAGCCGCATATATATATATATGGGGTGAAGTAACATCTTCTCCTCCGAAACGGCTGGTTCCCGGGCTTAGCGAAGCACACCGTCGGATTCCGCAAGTCCGTGGCGCTCCATTTTGACCATTCAAGTCCTCTTGGGACTTTAATTAGCCGAGATATTAATTAAAAACTAATTTTCCCCTACGTTTTCCATACATTTTCCACTTTTTTTCTTGGGTTTACCCTATTAGAAGCATTTGGCTACGTGCTAAGTTATTTTTTCGAATATCTACGGAACGGAGCCGAATTGAAATTTGAGACGCGTATCCTCGGATTCTAAAACATTCTCCGAATCCATCGATACTGTTCTCATCTTCGTACGACTTTAATCGGCCGAGATATTAATTAAAAACTGCGGAAACATTAATTTCCGTGCTCATTTTTCCGAGTGGCAACAATAAACTATCGGCGACACACACTTTAGCTGCTTATGTAATATAAAGATGTGTCTGTATGATTTAATCAATTTATATAATTTGCAAAATAGTAACTAATATTGTGAATATTGTGAATTACCAGCTCGAGGTTCCATTTCAATTTTCATTACACTAACATATTCATTAACAAATGTGCATGTGCGAGTCACCATCTACACTGCCTCGCGCTTCCCGAATCTTAAAAATGTTGTACCTGGGGTGTCCTTTCCGAGTTCCTAATGGCATTATCCTACCGACTTAATAATTAAGAAACACATTTCCTTAATAATATGCTTTGAAGATAATTATAGCAATTTAGTTAGGATCTTAGGATGTTATCAATCTTAGGATGTTTTCTTATGCTACGATCAAAATTTTCCTCAAAATTAAAAAAAAAAAAAAAAAAAAAAAAAAAAAAACCCAGCGGTTTTCAATCTTTTTTGCCCCATGTACTCCTTTTACCGATTGCTAGATAATCATCCCGCGTCTTTCTCAAAACTTGAAAAATACATATATGCATTTATTTAGATTTAAATTATTTTCTAATCTGTTTTATAAATTAAACAGAAAAGTACAGAAAATGTTGGCAAGTACCAAAATTTGAAAAGTAGAATTCGTATTCATAAACTAAAATAAAAGGCTTAAATGTTTACTTAACATATATATAAAAGGCTGACCCCATCCACCTCCATGAAGCTATGAAATTTCCCACTTAAAATCAAAAGCGAACCTCCCCTGATTGAGAACCGCTACACTAAAGTATTATTGTCTTTTAAAGATGTATTCATCCTTGAGCTCGGCATTAGTCTGCTTGAAATCCTAACTCATATACTTACATTACATGCATTTTGTAGCAATCGTTTAAAATGAGCAATATAACGATAGTGGAACAATATTCAGAATAATTCCAGTAATAAATCTATGTACAAATATAATAAAAACTTGGTATTTGCACCTGGATATTATATCTATGAAAACATTTGATATTCTTTGCTTACCCACGCAGGATGGAGGATCTGTGCTCCACCGTCTTCCATCACAATAGACTGACCCAACTCCATTCAAAACATACCCAGGCAAACAGTCATAGACAAGAAGTGCTCCTCTGTACATTTCCGTTACTCGTCCGTTAGAGATATCTGGTTGCTTGTAGCACCCTCGAGCTGAAAGGAACAAAGTACTGAAAAATATTGAAAGCGAGTAAAGCATAAAAAGTAAAATAGCTTAAGCATGCAAGAAAATACAACGTGATTTTTTTTTTGTTTGTTCCGTCCATCGTTACGATAAGTCTTATACTGTTTGTACTCGGAAACTACTAATACAAAATGTGGTGATAATTAAATTAAATATACTAAATGCCCCCTATCCTATACCTTAAATGACACAGTAGCAGAAAATACAATACGAGTTAAATCCCTTTTATATCGAAAGTAGATCATTAACTTATTCATGATCATAGTAGTAACTTAATCATTGTTTGATTGTGGTTCATTAGCATTTGCATGTTCTATTTCGTAAAAGAAACACGTTACAAAAATTTATGGAATTAAATTATTCACACCGATTTAAATTAAAAAGTTATTTTATGCAATCGGTAGTACTATTATTCAGTTTCAATCTGCTTTTATTAGTTATTTTTTTTTAATTAAGAAATGCTTTTTGTAACTCGGAAGTGTTAATTTCACCTAACACTGCTTATTCTAATAAATCACTCTTAGCAATTATAAGAACAATCAATTTAAAATTAATTTAAAGAATAAGCCAGGATTATCCGTTACCAAAGCTTTCTCATAATGTTCTATTTGCTTTGATAAGCTTTTCACAATAAATTTGAAATTTTCGAAATATGAACATGCATGTAATTTCTGAAACATTTATCATCGTATAAATACGATTACTACTTTATCCTATTTATCATAAACGCGCAATGAATAATTTATTCATCAGACAAAATATTTAAAGATCTGATTTTGCGATTTTTATTAACTACGGAATAATATTAAACTTAAGATTTCCTGTGTTAATTTGAAAATAATCTTATTCATTTGCTATAAAGTGATTTTACAGGCCATTTTCGAAGGTGTATGTTTCTTGAAACCATGTTATTAGCCTTCGAAATCACATTCAGTATTTTTAAAATTTCTCAGCATTCTTTAAAATCCTGTATTATTTAACATTATTAATTTATTTAATTTAATTCTCTATGCAAAATATCAGTATCTGAAGTTAACAAATTATACACTACGAAATAAATGCCTGGCCAAAATAGACAACAGTTAAAAATTTACGAAACATTTTTGATGGATTAATACGAGAAAATGATTGCACCTGATATTATTTTATGACCGTTAGCTCGGCAGACCAGTATTTGATTAGCATCGCTGCGAATATTATAAATGAAAGATGAAAATATACTTATTTGTATCTAAAAACAATTGCAGAATACATGAAAATGACAAAAATCGTCCGAGATATAAATTTTAGATTCATGTTAAAAATGGTCGTTGTTTTAATAATAATTTCCCATAATGTTTTGCTATTGAAATCGATATATGGCTGCAATAATGTAATAAAAGTGGGTTAAAATATTGTGTGAATTTAGGTGTTACTTTTGAATGCTGAAATGAATACGGTACACTTACCAAAATGGAATTTCACACACACATTAGATGTTCAGAAATGTTGTGCATGGATTTTATTTTCTTAAATACGATCCTAGATACGCATATATCATGATTTGTTTTTCAAAATAAAATGTATAATTTTATGAAAACGTTTTCATTGCTGTGAAAGAACGTGCTTGAAACGTACAGTCCCATTTCTTTTGTCCTCATACGGCCACAATGTATGATCCAGTAGAAATTTTATTGTGCTTTAATTAATGCGAAATATTCCACATTTTCACGCAATCGTTCATGAGCTTATTCGGTATAATTTTCTTACCTAATACAGATATAATCACGGGATTTCTGGGGAAAAAAAGAGCTGAGGGTGTAATTAGGAAACGGAAACAAATTTTGCTCGTGTGAGATATTAATGGTTATCTCGGTTAACCGAGCAGTTAAATGTTCTATTTGTTAGATGTCCCTTTGAAAATATTTACTTTGCGTAACTCAAGGAAAAATTTTCCCTTAAAAGAAATCAACATGTTTCATGTAATTAAAATATAATTAGCGTTTAACCAATTGATGTATTTTTTTCAGAAGAACTTACAAAAATATATTACATATATTATATTTTACAGAACGCTTCAATCTGAAGCATATTTATGTCCACTTGTTACTGCAAACAGAGAAAGAACTAAAACGAAATATTGAGGTACAACTAGAAGAATTTCAATAGAAAATAAGGATTAAAAAGCAAGGTATGTTGAAATGTTTTAATGATGAAACAACCTTTTCATTTTACTAATTGCTATAGTAAGATACTGACAATCCTCATGAAGTCAAAAGGATGATTTTTTGAAATATTTAGAATTTTTGTATTCCCACAAAGGTAAAATATTTCTTTGTTTTTGCTCCGGTCTAAATGGAAAAAAACAATTTCCAATTTTTGGTGCAACCTGTTTCAAAATAAAATGAATCAATAATTTCATGATAAATATATAAAAGATTTTAGAGCGAAAATTGGAAACTAAACTTTCTAGCTAGTGTTATCAGTTACAAACAGTTTGTCTCACATAAAATGCATTGATGGTCCTTTATAAGTCTTTTGTGTAGAGAATGGATTCTCCACACAAACTCTACTCTTCTTTTGTGAGAGAGTCTTCTGAATGGCATAAAATGCACGTTTAAATTCGAAAATTTCTCGAGGCGCTTTGTGAGGTTTTCGAAATAGGACTTTGTGCATTGGTCTAATATCGAAAACACGCATGTGTTTGAAACATTTATTTTCTGGACTTGAAACAATTAACAAAATGGTGTCTTTTGACTTTATCTAATATTCTGGATACAACTGCATGCATGTTACGCGATTTATGGAAACCACAACATAAAATATTTAACACTGTTTCCAGGTCCTACACAGAATTCATCGCCTCCTTTTGACGTATTCATTTGTTTCGCAACTGATAACTTTCACAAGAAGATAAAATAATTACTCACACCGTTTATCCTCTTTATCGTTTAAATGACACATTAGCAGAGCATCAGATGCTGCAGCCCTTGTCACACACAACACGATTAGCCATGTCGTTTGGTAACAGATGTTATTAATTACGCTTATTAACGAAGCGGTCGATCGTAATTAGCCAGTGAAGAGAAGCGCCTTGGGTAAATTGTCAATGAGCTGTATAACGAACCGGTGTCTTCAGTGTGGCTCGAGAAACTTAATTAATAATACAGAAAAACATTTCCTTGAAAGTTGCGCGTGTGAGGCATATAATTCGAAATAACTCTGAACAGCAGCAAAAATATATCCGAAATAAAAAATAGCATTACTTATTGAATTTAGTGCTATGAATATGAGCGTAAAGACTGAACTTTTTTTTTAGTTTATTCACATTTTGGAGATCAAGGGACGTAACTGATGTCTGATACAAGCGCTATAAAAAATTTCGCCTCATAGCAATACGTCGTAGTTTCTGCTGCTCCTTGTAATTTAATTCTATGAGAAACAGTTTATGTAAGGTTAAAATATTTATTACAAGCCGAAATACTCAGTGAACAAAATGCAGATCATTTAGATGTCATTAAAATTATAATTTGGAAAGCTCTGTTAATTTAATACGATTTAGTTTGAGTTAATAATACGGCGAATAACAATTATTGGAAGAGTTAAAGCAGTAATAATCAGCGTAAAATTCATAAATTTGCAACATTAGTTTTAAAAATATAAATATAGAACCTTCTTTTCAGCTGCAGAAGTACAAATAATTCGCATTATATTTTCTTATCACTGGTCATCATTTACACATATGAAGCTGAAGAATAAAGCTCTACATTTAAAACTTTGAAACTAGTTCTGTAAATTTCTTAATATTTCCTTGACTCTTGTTACTGTAATTCCTTCAAAAACAATTTAAATATTTTAAGTTTCTGAAGCTCTAAACTTCTGAAATTCGAAGGGAAAAAACTAAAAGTGTCTTGGTAAACTGTTATTATTCTTCCAATTTCATTCTCATTACCATCTCTAACATTAAAAAATCCATAAAAAAATCCACTTAGCTACAAGTTACAATGGAAAACATTTTAGTGTATTTAGTGAAGTTTCATTTGACGTTTTTGTAGCTAACTTGCACTTCTAAACAGGAAAGTCATGACGTAATGTATAGCATGCTTGCCCATCATAATCCTTTTGGCAAACGGCTTGGATTCGTGAAACTTTCCTGATTTTCCACTTTTAATGGGAATAAGAAACAGTTTCTCTTAGAAATGACCCTAACAATGTATCTCTTTTAAGACATCCGTGCGCTTTGCCATGCATAATTGACCAAAAGGTGGAGTGTGTTTACTTACCTGAATTTAAATCATATTCATGGCCATTGTTGTACCTATTGTTTACAATGAAATATAACAAATCTCATATATAGCAAAGAATTTGGATACATCTGAACTCCAGTTTTCGTGTACGAAGCAACGTGCGCCCAGGATCATCACCAATGCATTCAAACAGCTAATGCTTATATATTCATGCAACTAACGTATTCATGTAACATCATCCAGGTCCTAGTTTGTTCATGCGATTTCACAGAGAAGCATTCCCGAGGTAGGCATCCTGAGTCTCGGAAGCTGCCGGTTTTAGATAACGGAAGGCGTGGGACATACACCCGCTTACCTTTGTTAGACACCAGGTGTCCCCGTCCTGTGTCATCTGTACGACTCTAGACTTCTCACATCTGATTTAAATAACAATTTGATTTCATGCTAGCTAGACTCTGGACTTGCGAAGATCTTTTCCACACTTTGATTTCTTTAATTAAAAACAAGTATTAAATTGAAATTGAAAATTTAATGTTTAACGAATTCTGCAACTCATAGAATTATGAAACCTAAACGAATTTGCAAATCGAAATTTACTTCCATTTACAGGATTTACTCGCAGACCCAATGTAACAAATTAACTCGGTAATAATAAGTGCTAACTCAAATATTTTAAAACAAGGAGATCTCTAGTACTCATTGAATAGGAAGCTCTTATCCTGTATATCTATGCAACTATTTTT